TAATTAAAAAGTTAAAAATCAACTGAAATTGTTGGATATATATATATATATGAATAGAATGAGTGATCAATGCTTACACTTCACAACAAATATTAGCAAGGAGAAAAACAACAAAAATAAATTTTATTCTGAAAATGAAAAGTGAAAATAGTAATCGTGTTTAATCACAGAAATGAAAACCCAGAAAAAAAATCAACAAGTATAGTTTAAAGGTTTACACTTGCAAGTAAATCTTAATCAAAGAAACACAAGACTTTGTCTAGTTTCTGAAAAAAAAATGGAAAGTACAAATCTTAATAATGAAAACCCACAAAGAAAACCAGTAGGCAGAGTATAAATACTGACACTTACAGGTAGATCTGGGTGAAAAAAAGAAAAATCAAAGTTGAACTTAAGAGAAGTTAATAAATAGGATGATAAGCAAAGAAAAAAAAGAAAAAGAAATACAAAACCGATGATGCCCTATTGCTGCTACAAATAAAGATACCCCGGAGGAGTCCTGAACAAAAGGATTGTGGCAGCAGCTTGAAGAGGTGGTTCTGGGTGGAGATCGACGGTGGAGAGGGGGATGAAGATGATGGAACAAAAAGGAAAATACCGTTACAGATACTACTGTACTCAGGAATCTTAATAGACTGCAACAATCCCGATGGATGTTGGTGCTGTTCCTTCATCTGTTGATAAGTTAGACACCTCGCCACAAAATCTTAAATATCCTTCTTCATGCCACTAAAAAAATACCGTTCCTTGAGATTCTTGTACATTTTGTCCCTATCAGGATGCATGACATAAGGACTACTATAAGCCTCCTGAAGAATAACCTATCTTAACTCATCTTCTTTAGGGACACAGTAACGACCATGAAATCACATAATGTCATCCTGATCAAAAGTATACTCTGAACTTGTTCCATGCTCAACCTTCCCAATCATGGGAAGTAAGGAGCTATCTAGGAGTTGTTTAGACTTAATCTCTTTGGCCAAAGTGGGCTTAACTTGTAACTATACTAACAGGCTTCCATCATCAAACAAACTCAAACTGGAAAACAAGGCTCTCAGATCGGATATCAACTTACAACACAAGGCGTCGACCACCATATTAACATTCTCTGGATGATACTCTATCTCACAATCATAGTCCTTTAGAAGCTCCAACCAGCTACACTTTCTCAAATTCAACTATTTCTGAGTAAGAAGATACTCCATACTCTTATGATCGGTATATATATAACACTTTTCTCTGTAGAGATAGTGTCACAAGATCTTCAAAGTAAAAAACCACGACAGCTAACTCCATATCATGAGTGAGATAGTTGCACTCATGTAGCTTTAACTTACGTGACGCATAAACGACAACCTTCCTATCTTGCATCAAAACACATTCTAATCCAGAGTGAGAAGCATCATTGTAGACAAGAAAATCCTTCCCCGACTAGGTTGAATCAGCACCGAGCTTGAGTCAGATCAGTCTTCAATTTCTCAAAGCTAGCTTGTTGGTCCATAGACAGACAAATGGAACATCTTTCCTTAACAGTTTCGTCAGAGGAGATGTAATAATGGAGAACCCCTTAACAAAACGATGATAATAACAACTAAGCCCAAGAAACTACAAATTTCTGAGACGTTCTTGGGTTGCTTCAAGTTCATAATAGCCTCCACTTTACTCGGATCCACCAGGATACCCTCAATATAAACAAGATGCCTAAGAAAAGCCATTTCCCTAAGCCATAACTCACACTTGATCAACTTGGCGTATAACTTATTTTCTCTCAGAGTCTGCAAAACAATCCTTAAATGCTCATCATGTTCTGCTTCAGTTTGAGAATGCACCAGTATGTCATCGATGAACACAACTACAAATTGGTCCAAGTAAGGTCGAAACAAACGATTCATCAGATCCATAAAAGCATCAGGGGCATTAGTTAAGCTGAATGACATTACTAAAAACTCTTAATGCCCATAGCGAGTACGAATAACAATTTTTGGGACATCAGAATCTTTCACCTTGAGTTGGTAATAAACATACCTCAAGTTTATCTTTGAAAAGATAGAGGCCCCTTAAAATTGGTCAAACAGATCATCGATCTGGGCAGAGGATATTTGTTTTTAACCGTGAGCTTGTTCAATTTCCTGTAATCAATACAGAGTTTTAATGTCACATCTTTCTTATTGACAAAGAGAATTGGGGCTCCCCACGGTGAAACACTTGGTCGAATGAATCCCCTATCCAACAACTCTTGGAGTTGGAATTTTAGTTCCTTAAGCTCCTTTGGGGCCATACGGTAAGAAGCCATCGAAACCGGGGTGGAACTAGAATAGACTTCAATCTGAAAATCAATTTCTCCATATGGCGGCAATCCATGCAACTCTTCAGAAAAAACATTGGGAAATTCCTTAACAATCTGGATGTCTTCAATGTCAAATCGAGAACTCCTAGTATCCATAATATAAGCAAGAAACACCTCAGAACCCTTTTCATGATCATTCTCTCAGCTACCAAAGCAGACACAACATTCATCAAGAATCCACGACGTTCCATGATCATAACAATCTTCCGGTTATCCAAATTATTCAGAAAAACTCTCTTGGTCTTACAATTGAGATTAACTCGATGCTTGCTCAACCAATCCATGCCAAGAATAAAGTCAAACTCCTTCAAAGGTAACTCCATCAAGTCGGTTAGAAAGATATCCCCATGGATCTCTATGGGACACCATCTAAAAATACGATCTAACTCTATGGCTGACCTATGACCTCTAGTAGCACTCATCGTATAAATAAACAAGGCTCTACAGAAAGATTTTGAACCTAGGTTAGACTAGCATCATGAATCTCAAATATATTTAAACTCATAAAATAAGGTGACACAGTTTTTTAAAATATCAAAAATATCTTGAAAATCCAGATTTTAGAACTCATCCACAGTCCGAGTGTTTAAAACTGAAAGCTCTGATACCACCAAATGTAACCCCCTAGACCCAGCCTGGACGTTATGCCCAAATCTAGGTGGTTACATATCTTATTCAAAAATTTCTTTTCATATTTAAAATAATGTTCAAATTCATATACAATATAATATGAAATTAGTCATAATAAAAGTTCATATGATAAACGTCTATATATCAATATATATGTATAAGAAAAATCGTATAAAACATATACATAGCAAAATACTGATAGTACATATATATCGAGATGGAAGCAAAACCAAGTGTCACCAAAGTATAACAAAAACATATATACAGATATACAGTGGTACAAAAATAAGAGTAGTCAGTCCTCCTGATACTAAGTCTGCTAGCCTAAAGGTCTGCTGCTATCTCAAAGGTTTAAAATTTACAGAATGAGCTAAAAAGCCCAGTGTGCTCCTCACGGTGTATAAAAACATACATATAAAATACTTCAGTGAAATCAATATATCAAACACGTTTTAAAAATATGAACACTACCGCCATCCGATCACCAGAATGTATAGATTCCCCAGAATCATACACCTACCTATACACCCGGTAAGGGCCTTATACACATAGCATAAGGAACTACGGTAAGGATTTACCCTGAGCATAAAAGATGAGGAGTCTGCGGTAAGGACTTACCCTGAGCATAAACATGTATGTATTCGAGTGAAAATAGTAGTTTAATCCAGTAAAACATGAAAATATTCCAGACTTAGAAATTATATACAAATACAGAAATCAGAGATAATGTCAGATATGTACAATAAATCAGATATAAGATAAATAGTATTAAGAAAATCGGGTATAGTCTCGTAAAAATATTTATTATCCTCAAATCGGGTATAGTCTCGTAAAAATATTTATTATCCTCATAAATCTAAAACAATTCAGATAGGTAGTTTAAAATAGTAATGTACCACCATCAGGAAACACACATGTACCGGTCTAAGTAATATGATAGGAAAACCTACTATTGAGTCTAACAATCACAATTAGTGGCAGTGTTAGATCCTATGAATCGGAAAATCTATATCAAAATCCTAATATGAATAATAATAATCTCTATTTAAACAATTTACATACACCGACAAGTAACTCTCGAGGAACACGGATCGTGCAGATCTGACGGATGGGAAACACTAGATCTAACTAACCCTCGATCAGGTGAAACACAATTACCTTCATAAAAATATCTTATTGGATCAATTCCATAACCAAATCTCAAATAAATAGGCAAAAATGCTAAAACTACTAAGCATTTTCGGGTTAACGAGCTCGATTTGGGGCTTTCAGGTCAGTATTTGGCAAAATGAATCGCGAAATCGAACTCAGGACGTCGAAAAACATAAAATATGACTTTTCAAAAAATTTGACTTTTTGGTCAAAGTCAACGGTCGAATTGGCCCATTTCCAAGCAGTCCACCAGGTGGTGGACATTCCCCATGCGCAGGGGCAGCGCGTGGGGGCACGTGCGAGGCCGTAGGGGGTCAAATAAATTCAAATAAATTTCCTAATTGCGTTTTAAGGGATTTTGATACTTTTACCGAGCTCGATTCACAACGGTAAACGGCGGGGAGCTCGATTTTGAAACGTCAGAAACTTAATCTTTTCACTCCTTCACACGCCGGTGGCTACTAAGACAAAGTGGACACCGGAGGACTCAGGACGACGCAAGAAACACGATGGTGCGTGAGGTGTCGAAAATAGAGTAACAGTCGGCGACGAATCGACGATCGAAGGTTTCCTTCTATAAGAGAAAATGTTTGAAAAGAGAGAAAATTTAGTTTCCAAGTGGAAACTTTCCAGATTTGGGGTTATATAAGCCCTAAAAAAATGCCAAAATCATGCCATAGGTCATCTAGTTTTTGATAATTTTTGAATTTGGATCCGAATTTAATCAAAATTTTACTTTGGTTCCTGAATTTAATTAAAAATTCAATTTAGTCCTCAGAAAAATTTTAAAAAAAAATTTAGGCCCTAATTTGAGGTGTGACAAAATACCATGTTAATAAGTTTAAAAGACTGTTGCCCTTCATATTCTATTGTTTTGTTGTAGGTTCTGTGCGGATGCCTGCATCTCTTTGCGGCGTTGTAGGGCTCAAACCGACTTTTGGACGCATACCTCATTCAGGGTGCGAAGTTAGTTTATGGAAAATAATTCCATTGAGTCCCATTGGATATAAGATTTAGACAATATATCAACAAATGCATATGTTGTTTTCAGTGTTCTTCCTTTGAACTGGACAGTGGGGATGGTTGGAATACTAGCAGGCACCTTAGAGGATGCATTAGTTGTGTAAGAATTCTCTCAGTTTCTATTACCAATTCATTTCCTTGACTTTTAAATGTTATTTTGGTAGTTCTAGATATTACTTAGATTAGTTTTCTGTTTTCAGCTATGCTGCTATTAGTGGCCAACTTCAATCATGTGAGCACACAACTTTACCCGTAAGTGCCAGCTCTACAAGATAACTCCGATTTTCGGATATTTTTCGCTGTTCTAAATCCTGATCATACTCTTTTAAGAGAAAGTTGATTGTGATACTAAATTCTGAATCTACCAGTCCAAATTACATGTTCCACTGCTGAACTCGGCAAATCCGATATCAGACATCAAGTTTGCAAGATATGGGGAGGTTAGTGGTGTAATGATAGGATCAATTAGTTTAGGTTCAGTTTTATCATCGATTACAGCTTTAGAAGAAGAGATTCCTAATCCTACAATTCTATTTCTGAACCACTATATGTCTCAATTAGTGGTTCAATGACTCTAGCGATGAGATCAGATTATGCTGCTCCAATGCTCTGCACTTGCTTTGCGAGCTCTACGAGTGGAAGGTATTAATATCGGAAAACTAGCATATCTAAAAAGTTATCAACATAACATTATTGACTGCTCGCTAATCTGCATAAGGTTTGTTATTCACAAGACTGTAGAGGTTACTATACCGGAGATAGAGGCGATGAGGCTGGCACATTATCTGACCATCGGCTCTGAATGCACTGCTTCACTTAGTTCTTATCTGAAAAATTTGTATGTTATGTTCTGGAATCAAGCTCAAATTATCTTCTTATGCTCACTCGAATGCTGACAATATACACTATTAAATAGGGATTTTTCAGAATTAGGATGGGATGCAAGAGTAGCACTCAGGGTATACGGTGCTTTTGACAGCAACGAGTATATAAAGGCTCAAAAAATAAGGTAAGTTGTCAATATTTACTTGTTAATTATTTTCTTGAAGTTTTCACTCATTTGTGAAATGCAACCATTTCAAGAATTAAAAGGTGAATATCAATTATGATTTTAGATTCTGCAAACTTGCTATAACATATGCAGGAACCGCCAGATGGAGATTCATAAGAACATATTTGCCAAGGCAGATGTCATAGTTGCTCCGACAACAGGGTAGGCTCTTTTTAACTGCAACATCTTGCATCTTTTTCAGTGACCCTTTTTCTCCAAGAATGTCCAAGAGAGTTTCTTTTTTCTTCTCTTGAAACAGTGTGACTGCATACACAATATTCGACGATGCTTTAAAGAGCGGTGAGCTCGATTACATAAACGGAGGTACGAGTTTTGACAGAATTTTCAGCATGCATTTGTTAAACACTGAAGCTTTTATCAGTAGGATAAGTCAATGAACAGGTGCTACAGCATAATGGAAGTTAACCATTTCGCCACGTTGCGTTTTGCCAATTGGCCTTCAATTCATAGGGAAGCCATGGTCTGAACCAACTTTAATGCACATAGCATTTGCAATGCAGGTAAGCCACCAATTTGAGTTTTTATGTTCATTGCTAGTGAGCTAATACTTGGAACACATTTATGGTTTCAGGACTTGTGCATCTCACATTATAGAAAGCCTAAAGTTTTCTACAATCTACTGAGTAAGAATTGAGTGGGGAGCCACCGTGATCATCTGGAGGCCGGAGGGTAACCCGTCGTTGAGATCACTCCGATTAGTATAGCTTCTTTTTCTTCTTCTCTTGATGAACAACTGACTTGATCACTTAGCATGGAATATTCCAGTACTCGGTATTGCTTAATCATTTGGGAGCGTCTTTGTTGAGATTGATGTGTCAATAATCATTAGAAGCAAAAATTGTGCATAAAGTCAATCATACTTTTAGATTCAGATAATACATATGCATGTATGCATGCATGCATACATACATTACTTCTTTTATGGTTATAATTAGAAAAGCTCTTCTTTTGAAAAGTAGCTAACGCATAATATCTGTGAAGGTGGAGATGGATAGCTAGGATCAGGTGCAACTTTTTTACGCATATTGAATTTAGGATAAATTACTATTTAATCATTAAATTGGAATGAATTATATTACGATTATTGAACAAAAATGTCATCAATTAGGTCTTAACATTTCGTGTTGGTTTCTGTCAAGTTAATTACTGTTAAAAATTATTAATACTTATATGTACTTAAATGAAAAAGATAATATGCTTTAAGTATCTATTTTAACCAAAAAATACTTTAAATACTTATTTTGACGGAAATGATAACTTTATTTATTTATTTTGGTCAAAAAATATTTTAAATACCTAAATAAAAAAGACAATGCACTTTAAATACTTATTTATGATACAAACCAATTAGATATTAATATTTTTGTTAATGTATCACATCATCAGTTTAATTTAACAAGAGCTGACAAAGGAACAAATCGCTATAAATAGATAATATAAAATAGGGTAAATTACATAAATGATCACTAATGTTTGAGTAAGGTTTTTTTATTTTATTGAAGTTTCAAAAGTAACAAATTGACCACTAACGTTCTCGATTTATAACAAATTGATCACTCGCTGTTAACAACCATTGTAAAAGTAATGGAATGTTGACATGGAGCGTTAAACGTTTTGACCATGCAGGAACCTAGGACACCTTTGACTCTTCTTCTTCTTCTTCTTCTTCTTCTTCTTCTTTTTCCTCCTCCTCCATCAACCCTCACTTCAATCAAAATTGAATCTCCTTTGTATCTTCCCTCCAAACTAAATATTCTCTCGACCATAAAACTAAATATTCAAACCATCAACAATAAATCTGCAGCACCTCTTTTTATCCCCAAATTGAAAATCCTAAAATATGGGAAAAATTGTTCAAACCCCTAAATCAAATTCAGTGACCAAATTGTAAAAAATGTAAAAGTTGTAGCCCATCCGATAAATATTAGAATGTTTAAGAACCAACTGTGCGATTTGCCTATTTTTATTAAAACACAAACCCTACCTCCTACATTATAACATCGCGCGGCCGCTCCCTGCAACTAGGATGGCCATGAGTCGGATTTTTGGTCCACCTGACTCGACTCGAGAATAAGGAATCTTTCACCTGAGACCCGATTTAACCCGACTAAAACAAGATTTCACCGACCCGAACCCAACCCAATATATAACTTAAAAGTCCGACCCGACCCGAAATAATAAAAATATAATTTTTATTCAATAAAAATATTATTTTGTTTCAATAAAATAGTGACTTAATTGAAAAAAATAATATAGAGGAGTATTATTATAATTATTTATAAATATATGGTAAAATTATTTTTTTGGTCGGGTCAAATCGGATATTTTTCACCCTAAATCAGAACCCGACCCGACCATCACATTTAAAAAATCTGACCCAATCATCACATTTAAAAAACCCGACCCGAACCTGATTTATTTTATAGAAATCCAACCCAATTGAATCGGGTCGGATCGGAGCCCATCAAGTTCATGTCCTATGCCCACCCCTAGATAGGATCGTTGAGCCCGTTGTCGGTTCCCTCGATCAAATTAAGGATTTATTTAATTGTGTTATTTATCGGTAATTAGTTTATTGGCATTTCGAAGCGAATGACGTGATTTTTGTAGGTGATATCGAACCGAGATCGAATTTATTGTCCCCTCCACCGTTACCCACTAATTTTGAACCTACCCGTGTTACAAGGACTGATCGTGAGTGTTGGCGGAATGTTGATTTTAGATTTAGTTTGACATTGAATTAGATAATTTAATTAATATTAAATTATTCAGTAGGATTTGATTCGGATCGATCCATTGTTCAAGTTGACAGTGAGAAATGTTACAATCATTGTTAGAGTTATTTTGTCGTGGTATATCTCTACCGGATGTTATATTTTGCTTGTGAATTATCTTATTGACTGATATTTTCTCTGTTGATTGCGAGCATGATTGCAATGTGACATTTCTTAACTAATATGTGCTTCGAATAATGTTTTTGTGATATATATTACTATGTCAAATTTCAGAAAATGCTATATGATGTTTATTGAATTATCGTACCCGAAATTTATGCTAGGCATTCAGGCTTTGAAAATTATGAAAATATTTTTACATCTGAATATGTAAATAATAATGTCATGTCATTCTGGGTTGGGTTTGATTGGTGAAGTTCAGTGCATTCACACGACGGGGTGAATGTCACTCCTGATTTAATGGTTTCTACCTTTGTGGCTGAACCCACTCCGGATGGTGTGATTGTAGTTAGAGTGGTTCTAGGAACCTAATCTTCGGATGGTGTGACAGGTATATGAGTGCATTTACATTTGTGTTTCATTTCGGACCATGAATATTATGACTCTGTGAATATTTTTGAATTTTGAACTTGTTTTTTTATTACACTTTAGAGACACACAAAGTTTAATAGCTTGCACCCTTCTGGTTTCTCTTTCAGATTCTTGAGTTTAAGTGAACTGGTAATTGAAGATTTACATCGTTATTTCAGATTTCATTATTAATTCATTTTATGAAATTTACTTAAAATTTTTATTTTAGATTTTATTAGTGTTTTTATTCAGGTACTATTTATTACTCATAATTATTTTGGGTCATTAGACATTTTATTTATTTTGACATTGGACAATGAATTTTGGTTTTGATATTCAGTTTTTTTTAATTATATTATTATTAAATTTATTTCGGATACATCAAATTTTTGAAATCAATATAAGCGAAGGAAAATTTCAATAATATTTTTGGGTTGGATTTTGGGAGACAAGTTAATGGGCCTTCAAATTTTGTTTTTTTCTAGGTCGGATAAAAGGGGTTACAAAATCCAACCTAGTAAAATTAACAAATTAATCTTCAAGTAACTCTTAGCACTGCTTATAATTTGAGGGCCAATATAGAAAATAAAATAAATTTTTGAAGTAATTACAAAAATGATAATAGAAAATAATTCAATAGACAAAAAAACTTTTTTTTTACTCGGCAAAATTTGTCACACCCTAACTTAGGGCCTAAAATTTTGTTAATTTTTTTTCGATAACTAAATTCAAATTTTAACTAAATTCGGAGACCAAAGTGAAATTTTGATTAAATTCAGATCCAAATTCAAAAAATATAAAAAATTAGAGGACCTATAGTGTAATTTTGCCAATTTTATTTTTAGGAAATATATAACTCCAAATCTAGAAAGTATTCTCTTTTGGAAACTCCATTCTCTCTCTCTCTCTCTCCAAGCTTTCATTTTTTAGTAGGAAATCTTTAATCGACGTTTTGTCGCCGACTGTTGTTCCGTTTTCGACACCTCCCACACCATGTTGTTCCTTGCAAAGTCTTGAGTCCACTAGTGTTCATCTTGTCTCCGTTGCCGCCGGCGTATGAGGGGGTGAGGAAGATCAAGTTTCTAACAATGCAAAATTGAGCTCCCGGTCGTTCACCGTTGTGAACCGAGCTCGGTAAATGTCTTAAAACCACTTAAAAAGCATATAGAAAATTTTCCTCTATTTTTTGGACCCCAGATAGACCCGCACACACCCCTATGCACCGTCGCTATGCGTGGGAAAGTTCTACCGCCTGGTGGGTTTCTAGAAAAGGGCCGACCCGATCTGACCCGCCTGTCCGACCCGACTCGATCCAATCTGAACCGGACCGATTAACCGTTGACCGACGTTGACTTTTTTTAAAACCTCCATCTTGACATTTTTGACGTCCTGAGTCCCATTTTGTGATCCGTTTTGCCAAATCCTAATCCAAAAACCCTAAATCGAACCCGTTAATTAAAAAATGCTTAGTATTTTTAACATTTTTTCTTATTTATTTGAGATTTGGTTATGAAATTGATTCGAGAAAATATTTTTATGAAGGTACTCGTGGCTCACTCGACTGAGGGTCGGTTAGATATGATATTATTTATTCTTCATATCCACTCGATTCACGTTCTTCCAGAGTTACTCTTAGGTTTCTGTAAATTGTTTAAATATATGTTATTATTATTCATATTAAGATTTCGATATGGATTTTCCAATTCTTAGGATCTAGCGCTGCCGCTGATCGTGATCGAAAGACTCATTAGTAGGCTTTCTTATCAAACTACTCAGACCGGTACATGTGTTTTTCCTGATGGTGTTACATTACTATTTTAAACTATTCATATGAACTGTTTTAGATTTCTGATGATATTGAATATTTTACGACACAATACTTGATTTGTTGAATACTGTTTATCTAATATATGATTTACTGTATATTTATAATGTAATATCTTATCACTATATTTATGTATCTGATTTTTTAGTCTGAAATATTTTCATGTTTTAATGGATTAAACTA